GAAAACAAAAAATGAAAAAAAAAACAACCCAAAAACTTTTATTTTTAATCCTCTAGCCTAGAGCGTAAGAAGTTTATGTGATGTTTTTGTAATTATTTTGCCTAATAGGTCTTACAATATTCAAAAGCTGTGAAAACAAAATTGTATTATAAAATTAAGATAAGAATTCAGTCTGGATATCTATCAAATTATGAACAACGTGTGTTCTATGAATTGGAACTATTTCCCTGATATCCAAATTAAGCTTTAATTTGTTGTCTTATAATTGGGTAACAAACACCCTTTTTTCCCCTGATAACTGTCATTACTGCCAGGCAATCTAAAAAGCTAATTATTTGTTTTGAAAATCTAAATTTCTAAATTTTTTATTCTTCTCTCTCATCCAAAATGTTAGGATCAACATTTGGTTTCTAACACAATCCCAGGTGATTAAACATGCTAAGTCCTAGTAATAAGGGTAAAGTCTTACCTGTTGGAACAAATAAAGTGTGTCCTTGCTTCACAACACATTTGTAACATTTGTCAACCTTGTCCCCAAAATATACTTCACTCTGGGTGACAGATGAACTCCAAGACTCATACAGAGCCAAATTTTCATCAGTGGGCTTGATCAAATAGAATATCTTCTCACCCTATTAAACAAAAATATCAAATAAATAAATGAATGTCCTCCTGGTGGCATACTACAACCTCCAAGTCATTCCTAATAAAGTAACATATTGATCAATGGTAAGTATTCCATATTTCCACTATGGAATGTTGGGGCTTCCTAGCCCCAGTGTTTCACAACTGTAATCCACCAAAAGCTTAGTCAATAGTACACTAACCAATTGGTGTCTTGTGATGTAAAAGCAGCAAACAAACCAACCAAAACTTTTTATTGAAGTATAAAAAATTCCAGCTTTTATAAACAGTTTATGGATATGTGCACACATGCCAAATGAGAAAACGTAAGATGAAATCACTTTGCCTCTTCTATAATGTATAGATGGTCAAAGTTTGTGAGAAGAATAAAAAGTTGAGTATGTCAATGATTTTTATTCAATTCATTTTTTCATACTAAAACCTCACTATATCACCTACCAGTCTACTAAAATGATCAGTCAACCAATTATAGTCTAGATGTCACCAACATCATGCTAAAATAGAAGCATAAAAATGCAACACCCAACAATCAGTAATTCACTTTCAAGCTCCTCCCCTGGCTTTTTAAGGACAAAATTTCATACAGGTGATAATTCTAAGCAGGTGATAATGCCACGGCAGAAAGCTGCACACTAAATAAATTTTGTTTCGCACAGTCGTAAATCAAGAAGCCTTCATACCCAGAGAACATGGTACCAAACTGATGTTCCTCCAAAATCGATATGAAAATCAGTGTAGCTGTCCTGGACACCCATCAAGCAATACTTCTGAACAAAAGGCTTAGGGAAGACAGAATCATCTGGCCAATAATTTTCCACCCATGAAAGCTTTCTGGCAATATCCGGTACTTCCACTAATTCAGACATCCTTTTAAAAACAAACAAACAAACAAAAAAGAACCATAAATATAATCAAGAATAAGCACACTTCTTTTTAAATGACAGCTTTAAATTTTTGTTTCCTACAAAGTTATTACTTATGAATTCATAAAAATGTTTTATACCCGCATTACATCACAGTAGCTGTCTACATAAAATACGCAGCCTCCTATCTTTCCCACTACAGACATTATATTCCTACACATACTGCTCAACTTGGTGAAAACCACTTCCTACGTTCAAAGAATTGAAGTCAATACTCACTTTGTGTCCGAGAATTCCAGGCTGATCACATTCAATACTTTTGGTCGGTCAGGATTTGTGAAATATTTAATATAATTATGAAGCTTCATTTTACTGTCTGCTTGTCTTGCTACATCTATTACATCTATCACTTTGTCGCCACCTGTGAAAAATAGGATGACTTTCTTAAATGTATCGCAGATAAAAACAGCCATTTAAGGTGTATAAGAGAAATTTAACTTTTTTCCAGCCTTTATCAAAACATTTCTGCATAAACACTCCACTACTACCAGCATTCTCTTGGAACAGAGACAGATCAGTATAAACCAACTTTTTATTAGGTATAACTATAATCAGCTAAGGACAGAACTGAAAACACTCGAAAAATAAATCCTCTTTCCTGTGGTTAACCAAAACGAAAAAGAGCAGTATAGAATGACTGCAACTGGTTTAAAAGAAAAATTGGGTTTGTGGCTGCAATTGGAAAGACTAGCATAGAGAAAGTTATCAAGGCAGATCTATTCCTCACTCTTCCTATTAATCATCACCACAGCACTTGAATATTTAACACAAGGATCACTGAGAATTCTTTACAAATAATAAATCCTACTGCTCACAGCTTATAATTCTTAGCAAACTGCATTAAACTTGTGCCATAACTGGTAAGTTTTTAACGTTAAAAACTATGCAGGTACTCCTTCGCAAACATTCTACAAGCCCATCCCCACCCTTCTTATATACATGCATAACTTTTAAGCACACAGCAATTTCACTGAATAATTAAGTCATGAGTGTGCTTTATTTCTGAAGACAAAAAGGATTAGTTTACATATCGTGTATTTTAAAGTGATACATCTGTAGAACTAGACAAGCAAGAAGCAACCTTTAGTCAAGGGAAAGGACTAACAACATTATTATAATAGCAATTGGTTTATGTCCATTTAGTTACACAACGGTCAAATTTGACAATTAATTTTGGAATGCTGGAATCTAGATGTACATTATAAACATAATTACTTTAAAATTGCAAGTTAGTATCATCTTGATAAATTCCAGATGGAATAGTATTTATTCAGTTTTCTTATTTTTAATTTCAGTAATAGAAAGGTAAATCTGTGGCATTACAATTTTTTCCCTAAACTAGAGAACCTGGCAGGTCAAAATATATGTATGAGAATGAGAAGACCAAGTTTCTCTCCGAATCTGAAGAGGCAGTATTCCAAGAGAAAAGATTCAGTAGTATCAAAATTATAATTACACTTTAAAGTAGAACACATTACTGTTTATAATCATCATAATGGTAACAACATTCCATATACTACGTATTTCCTCTATTCTGGTGCCATTGTAAAATGCTGAAGGACAGAAAATCTACTTTCAGCACACATCATTATATTAGGTTATCACGAGAACACAGACAAGAACATATACAGACTTCTCAACTGTACTATATGTTACAGGAAATGTCATGCTGCAATTGGCTCAGTATCTATTTCTCTGTACTGCACCTTTACATGAGGTTGAAACAATTACAGACTGTCAAGAGATCTGGTAAGACAGAAATGGTCCTTGGGAAGCTCTAGCTCTCCTGCGAAAGGCAGCCAAGGTAGGAAATTTTCCAGGAAGAAAGATTTAATTCAGAAATGCCAATTCACCGAGCCCAAAACATTAAGTTTTGCGATATCCTAACCAACGATTAAACTTTATTGATCATAAGAGTGATTCATTCAATTATCACAAAAAGAACAATCTTAAAACTCATTATACTTTATTGGTTTACAACATGTAGCAGAAAAAAAAAAAATCCCAGCGTTCCATGCTTAGCTTGCACCAAAACTAACACGTTTGAAAGTTGAAAAGTAAGGCAGTACTCCTACCACATATCTACCACACACACACAAAAAAAAGAACAAAGGAAAAAACCACCAAAACCCATAGCTTTAATTTTACTCCCTGCTAGTCTTCTGGTTAGAAGTAATTCAATTTAGAATATATATTTAACACCCTGGAAGCTCTTATAATCATGCAAATATTTATTTTAATTTACAGGTAGGATCATTTGCAAGTACTCCAGAGTGACTCTTACCTACATATCGTTCCACATCTAAAACAGAGAAAGTTGGCGGAGGAAGTCTGAGCCCCAGACCATCTAATTTAGGAACCATAATGGGAACATCAAACCCATGTTTCTCCAAGTATCTTTGTGTCAATTGGCTTCCATGCATTTTCAAAATTACTTCATCAGCACTGGTGGAAAGAAATAATGGAATATTAGCAGAAAAGCATTCTCCAAGCACTACTGAAAAAAAAAATTATGTCCCAGTTTGGGGGAGGACAGATGGGAATGGCTACATTTGAATCCAAAAGAAGTGGACCCAGTACTATTATATTAAACATTTAAGTAAAAGACAAAGAAAACAACCTAAACCAGCAAGGGAATGTTTACTGTCATGCATAACCTGGGAACTCGTAGTCTTTCTATATGACTGAATGCAGTAATTTAAGAGGACGGGGAAAAGGAATTCTCAGAGAAGGCATTAAAGTACATTTTGGTAACAACAGCAACAAACTCCTTTAAAGAACTGTAAGTCATTGTGTTTCAGTGAGATAGCCAATCACAGACAGCTCAGGATGAAAGTACGACCATGTTTCTCCACTTTCCTCTAAAGCATGTGAGAATGGATAGACTACCAGCTCATATAAATGTTCTATGTTATTTGGAATGAAACTGAGGACTATTCCTGCACTAGAGGAATAGATAGACAATATTCTGACAGTTCAGGCACCAAAAAAACCCCACAAAAACCAACCACTCTTGCTACTGCTCCCACCCCCCCACAAAAGCAAACAAAAATTCAAAACCCCCACATCACCCTGTAGCAGTCCTGACAGACAACATGTCCCAGTGCAAAACTTAACAGAGGAAGCTACTGCAGGAAAAGGCAAATGTGTCCATCTGAAACAGGGATGGGGTAAGGGGGAATTCTAAAGGAGGAGGAAGTCACCCTCCACCTTTAGTTTCTGAAGCAGAGAAATGTTAGTTGCTTCCCTTAAAGACACACTCAACCGACAATGTTTCTCTATTTTTTCCACTGAAATATGCAAGTAAGCTGCTGTACCTTGGGAAAGAGCGAGCCCGCAGCTGTTTAACAAAAGTCCGTGTTCCAGCCTGCACCGGTTTGGAACCATCATCCAACTCTGTGTAGTCATGTCTGTGCCAGTTCCTCCTCTTCTTCACTACAAGTTTCAGAAGGATTAAACTTTGAATTAGTTAAATCAGATGGCTCAGATTAGCAGTCATCCCATTGGTGAGCCAATCACATTACTAAGATTAACAAACCTTACTGTTTATGCAGGTGACACTCCACCTATCTGCAACAAATGAAACCTTCAGGACACCTGACAGTCATTCTCTACAATTCTATAGTTCCTTCTACGTGAGAACCTCAGTGCACATTATACACAATGACTTAAGACTCCATATCCAGTGCAACAGAAGTAAACAGCAGCAGCCTGAAAGTTGTCCAAATCTAAAAAGTCAGCAACAAAACTAGAAATAGAACTTTAATTCCCTAAAGGTCAGACTTTTGTTTTTTAATAAACAGAAGAATCATACCTCTTCAAGATCCATAGACTTCATTTTCTGTATTAACACAGAATTAACAAGACTTAATCCCATTGTGCTATCTCGCCATACGAGCACACCCATATCCAGTCTGATAATATTACTACTATTCACCACCATATGCTGTTCGAAACCAAACCACCATTCTCTTATCCACTGCTTATGCCTCCATAACAGTTCTGGGCAGGTGTGATTTTCACTATGCAAGCACAATATATATAATGCAAACATTGCACCCCAAAACAATCAACTTCTGAGTTGTTTGAAACTTTAATGCACTATTACAACATATTACTAAAGAACAAAGGATAAATTAATGTTCTATTACAATTTTGGGAATCTGAAACTGATAGTTCAATAGCAACTAAGTTGCATTTTTAGCAGTTCCCTATACTTAAAGAGCCGAGGAAAATGAAAAACCAGACATTGTCATAAAAACTGTTGTGTTGGTCTCTCCATGACAAATGACAGACACACAAATGAGAAAAAAAAACTAATTTCATAGAATCACAGAATGATTTGGGTTGGAAGGGACCTTTAAAGATCATCTAGTCCAAACCCCCTGCCATAGGCAGGGACATCTTTCACTAGACCTGGTTGCTCAAAGCCCCCTCCAGCCTAACCTGGGAACACTTCCAGGGATGGGGCATCCACAACTTCTCCGGGCAACCTGTTCCAGTGTCCCACCACCCCAATAGTAAAGAATTTCTTCCTTATATCCAAACTAAACATACCCTCTTTCAGTTTAAAACCATTACCTCTTGTCCTGTCACTACAGGCCTTGGTAAAAAGTCATCTTCTTTCTTGTAAGCCCCCTTTATATATTGAAAGGCTGTATTTTAGAACATTGTAAGCTGTGTGCAGCCTCCCCATTTGAATTTTTTGGCCTTAGGTGAACCACAGGACAAAGTGACTTATGATACCATGGTGAACTTACTGCCTGTCTTCAAATTTTCATTATTTCGTGACCAATTCTTTCATAATGGATATTTCATTAATTCATCTTAATCAACCATTCATTTTGTACCTTCATACATAAAGAACACAAGCTCACTGCTTTGAAAGGAAGTTCTCGGTTGTATCATCTATCTGTCTGTTAGCAAAATGCACTTTGGAGCACTTTCTGTCTATACAAATAAACCTGTATCTCTTGTCCTCAAACATGCAACAGGCTGAGAAGTCCTATTAAATTCCCAACAGGTGCCTCGGCAAAAAGGACCGCCATCTCATCATCTGGGAAAGAAACTCCAACAGTGCTGAACTTGCTACCTTTCTATTGACTTAACAGCGTATCATTTACCACACTAAGAAACATACTAAGGGTACAGTAATTTTTAGGTTGCGTTTCAGTTTCTCCTAAAAAAGCCAAATTCTGCTCCACAGCATTAGATAGTTGCTACTGGAAGACTGCCCCAAGAAGATTTACTGAGACCGGATCTATAATTTAACTAATATTAAGCAGGAATTTAGTTACATCTGCTGAGGAAACACAGAAGAGGAAAAAGCTACCGTTACTTGTCAACACAAATGGTGTTTAACAGGCAAATACAAAACAGCCTGCAATGCAAATACAACACCCAACTAAACAACTCTATTAATACAAATTTGAACTTTATGGAAGAGCTCATCCTTAAGTTTACCAAAGTCATGATGAACCCAAAATCTAAAAAAAGTTATAGGAATACTGAAAATACAGCTAACAGTAACAGGAAGCTAAGGATTTAAGAAGAAAAAAAAAAAGTTACTTCTAAAAAGAAAAAACAAAATGCTGCTTCTCCAGAAAAAACAGTTGGTTATATAGGAGTAACTGACATCTTATAGTCATTACACATACGAGGTAATTATTCCTATTGATAAGCTGTTTCCTACAGAAGTGACAAAATGTACCCTTTAGAAGACATTTAAGAGAATAAACTGACATTTATAGCTATTTGCTAACCTGAAAACCAGTGCCAAAGAGCCTGCTTAATGAGCCAACTATCCAGTAGAAATTCATAAATAATGAAGCCAGATTTATTAAGTTTTCAAAGCTATTTTCTCAGTCATAAATAATAATACAAGAAATTAGTGGCTAATACTAATTTGCAACAGAGTAGTTTCTCATAAATTCACTGCTGTTATAACAGCTCATTAAAATTGTAAGATGATACAGCTGCTTAAGAGATTTTATAGCACAAAACCAACTTTTAGAAATCTGTCTTTCCAACACTTAAAACTAGAAATTAAAGTTGTTCTTTTGCTTTACTTAGTACTTGGCAACGTACATAATCCTTCCACAAGTAAGAGAACACTGAAGAACAGAAAACAGTAATGAAATCTTTTTCTGCTTATGTATCTCTTAATTCTAGAGCTTTTATAACCCCTTAAGACATTACAACAACAGTTGCAAGAAAATAATTTAATTGAATGGATCCTCATGCTCAAATTAAAACAAAAAAACCCAAATAAGTGCATAAGTTGAAAAGCACATATAACACCTCCCCCTCCCAATCACTCCAAACTAGTGGAAGAAACTAGCGTTCAGCCTTGCTGTTCCTGAAAACTGAGGCACAACCCACTGTGACAATACTAAAAATACGCACACCAAAAGTACTCTAAACAGTTGCAGGGGGGTTGAGGAAAGGAAAGGAGTGTGCTGGAAGTTTTCATGAAAAGTAAGCAGAAAGCTATTTTTAAATTACATTCCTTATACACTCAAAACAGTGGGCCAGTAACTGTACCTGCTTTAGGCAAACACTATTCCTTGCCTTCTCGCACTACTAGTCTGTCTGTCTCAGAGGTCACATGCTAGACTTCAAATGGGGACCATCAAGAGGTATCCACCTGTACAATGAGGCCTCAAGTCTTGGAAGAGGTCCTTTACGTGATTCCCAGTGACCAAAAGGCAAGAGAAATGTTAGCGTAGGAAGACTGAAAAATTTGAGGAGCATACAGTAAATCATACAATACCACTTCTAAGGCCTGGTACATCATCTTATATTGTCAGCTCAGATCAAACGCTGGCATTACTACCACAGTCAAAAAAACAGGTGGGAGGATATTTACAGAATTTGAGAAGGTAAAACCAGATTAAGAAAGTAATGTCCTGACAACCACAGTCCTGTTAACATTTACTGTACCTCGGGCTCTCTTAAAGCTCTGGATTCTAGAGTCTAGTGACAGACTTGACTCCCAGCATTCATGCAAATAGAGCATTTTCAGACTTAGGATCACTGAGAAAACTTTCAAAATAACAAAATATAATATGAAGACTCTAAACCAAATAAGCTAAGAAAACTCCTAAGTGTATTACTATTTTTTTATCACTTTTTTTTTTTAACTATTTATGATTTTAGGATTAATTATTTCGCATTTTACACACACAGCTGTTTACTAAAGGTCTTGTAAAATTGTTGCTCTTCAAAATCAAGAAGAGGATTTATTTTTGTTTGAAATACAAGAAGAAATTGATTGGTTCTCCTGTATTAATTTGATCTTTACATCTAACTATGTAGTTGCTTTCTTTTCATTATTGGAACTTTAACATAATTTATTTTGTAGGATACTGAAAGTAACCACCCATTTGGTAGTATGAAGTATGTGTTTCCTGTATATTTTTAGTAGATTTTTTGCACTACGTCATTTGATTAGATGGGATTATATACACAAGTGTCTGCTGAAATCACAGATATACTTGCCCTCTTAAATCAAACACAGATGAATTTTTGTCTCTTTCAAAACTCCTTTAGACAAGGAGATTTTAGAATATGAAGCTGTAAATAAAAATGCTTTTTTTACTTACATACATAATTTCATATGATTGAAGCACTCTGGAGCATTGCTGCAACACTTAAAGTCATGAGACATTATCAGTCTCTCTAAACACTAAAGTAAGCAGAGCCCAAACCGCAAACTATCATAGATTTGATTCTGACAGCTTAGCTGAGAGCAATTAATAAAATTCCAGGTGAAGATACATTTCAACATATCACCTCTGCTTGGGTTGATAAGTGACGTGTCTGAAGCTTCTACTAAATCTAGATGATCTACTCACTTGAGGCAATATGAAGTAATAAGGATAATATTTACCACAGATTCTTGCCTTTTTGAAAAGACTTCCAACACAAAAATTACTCTTATCTCACTGTCAAATTGCTGCAGGTGAGACAGAGCTTGCATTAGAGCTAGCAGCCTCTGCACTACAAGAAAGGTTATTCACAGGCATCACAGTGAAGCAAACTAGTTCTCCCAAATTGAGAAAAGAAGTTTCAAAGTTACTAGTTTATTAATTTGAAAGTATGATACGATTCCCCTTCTACTCCTCGTCCTTCTCTAGTCCCTCTATTCCACAGAAAAATCAGGCAGAAAGGTGGGGAAAGAAATGGCTGTCATTTGTATTCTGATTTACAGAAGAGACATGCAGATTTTTAACTGAAAATGTCAACTGGAATACTAAAAACTACAAGCATGTAAAACAGCATTCATCTTACCTTCTAGCCCCCAACCTAAAAGTAGCTAACCCTGAACTCACATACTATACAAGATACGTATCATGCAGCATACATTAATTACATCAGTAAGTGATGCTTTATCACTTTGTTCATACTCCAAAAGACTACCAGTGCGGGTGCAGTGGTTTTAAACTTACTGCTACATGGTAAAGGAAATTCAGCTTTGAAAAGATTCTAGATCTTAAGTCACTGCTGACTATAAATTATTAAGTGGTCTTCAAGCGAAAAAAAAAAACCAACACATTAGAAAACACAAATGACCACGACTTACTGCTTGGAGGTTAAAGACACACAGTGCATATAAACATTTTTCAGCTCTGAACATAGAAACTTAATTCATTGTTGGAAAGGTGAAATTCATTTTTACATTGTTTCCTTTTGAGAACAAAAGTCATGGGGGAAAAATCTAGGGAGTTGGATAAAGCAATATCCTTTCAGTAGTCACAGAAAGACAAAAACTGTTTTCTTCAGAATTGCAGTATTACCATCTTTCCACTGAAGATCTCTACAGCAAATTTATCTACTGAAAGGAGAACCAAAGAAGAGGTCTCTCTTGCTGCTCTGTTTCACAGTCTCTTCTGGCAACTCATAAAATTGCATTAGGAACTTGGTGGAAACTTGTTTATAAATCAGAAACCTGAAATTCAGAGCTGTGTAACTCTCAAGGACATAAATAGAAAAAAAACAAAACAAAACCTAGGAACAGGAAGTTCATATTCCCAGATTTCACTGGACTGTTGTGGCATATAGCCTACAATCATCAAGAAAGGTAAAACAGCTAATGCCTACATTTTCTCAAAGTTGCCTTCCAAGGTATTAGAATTTTGATTATTAAATATAGGACCCTTAAGCTGTCTTCTGGATTTTCCTTTTTTTGTTTTTTAAATAATGATTCCCCAATTTTCATTCTCCCACTCTCTGTCAAGTCCAGATTGTTTTCTTCTAGCTCTGTGCACTTTGATTTCTCTAACCTATAGCGGTGGTTTTTATTTTATTCTATCTGCATCTCCAGATCAAGGAACCTTTCAGGATGGTTTAGATTGTTTTGTGGTTTTTTTATCAGCTCAGAATTAGTCATGTAGAACCAGTACTTTCTAAATAATCAAACTTATCTTGAATGTTCTTCTGAAAAGTCTTGTTCAATTGTACATGGAGAGAAAACAAACTGAAAGTGTAAAATAAAATCTGAATAACCCATACTTACTTAGAGAAGGCCCATGGAGAACTGCACAGTTGGGACAATGGTATAGATCAATGTCAACAGCATGGTGCTCCTCTACCCCAACACAGCTGGAATAATATTTTTAAAATGTTAATGAGAATACACGCAAGATTTATTTTTCAAGCTAAAAAATAATTAAATCTTAAGTCTTTACCAGAACATGCTTAGTCTACAAAATTGTGATGAGATACCAAATTACCTCAACTACTGGGCTGCCACATAAATTTTGAGTAATAATTTATCACTGTATAAAGAATGCCATTTTTTAGAAAAATCATAAAAAGGGAACAAGAATCAAATTTCTTTAAAAATTAGTCCACAACATATACCATTACCCCTCATCCCCCAAAAAAACTTTGATCTTAGTTACAGGAAAAGTTTATGCAAAATCATTCAAGCGATTTTCCTCATGAAAGTTATGATTTCAAAAAAGTTCTGAAGTCTGTGTGCTGTCAATTTACAGACAATATCATGGATTTTTTCTTGTTTTTTCTTTTCTTTTTTTTCTGCAAAAGGCACATAACTGACTCCTACCCCCCAAGACAAATCAATGAAGAATACTTTCATATTCTTCCTGAAATCTTTACACTACTAGTACTAGCTATGTAAGTTACACAAGTGACCACACAAATCACTTTGTAGAAGTGTTTTTGTTTTAAAATAGCAACAAGTATTTCGAAGAGCACTTGAGAGATGTAATGTTTTCCTGGTGCACATTTTTTCCCAGATAAAACAGTCAAAGTGGGATTAAAGTTTAAAATCTTTGTAACAGTCATCTACACTGCTGTATATCTAAATAACACAATTGTAAAGACAAAATGAAGTACGTTTTATTAGAATCTGAAACACTAGAGGTTAATTGGAGAAGATGTGCTTTGGCACAAACTTCTCAAGGAAAAAAAAGAAGTAATCCCTACTCGCTGGTAGAATTTGAATCCTGGCAGAGTTCTTTCTCTCAAAAGTTCATTGACACTTATAAAATTGCTGACTTTATAATACAGAAGCAAGACTATAACACTGAACATTTACACCAAAATTAGGTATTTACATTCAATGCATTATAGTAACATGAGAACTTGAACACCACTCCATTCAGGTAATCCGTTTCATATCAAAAGTGTAATGACAGCTTAAACACTGAAGCTTTGAAATGACCCAGCTACAAGAAGTCTTTTCCCCAGCAGCCTATTGCCAAAACTGCTGACATGCTCCAGTAAGCGTCAGTACATGCTGCCAAAACAATATATTAAACAGTCTAGCATTCAAAGCGCACCAATGAGCAAATCAAATCTGAAACTGAAGAGCATCTCCCATGTAACTACCAATGAGAAGTACACCATTCTGAATTCTCTGTAAACAGATTCAGCTGGTTCTTCTACTTCTCTCTTCGCTACATACCACATGAAATTTAGAAATTATAAAGCTTTTTATATACATACTATTTTAAAATCTAAATACAAAACTCAGCTGCCACAGTTCATCACAATTCTTGCAATATTTAGTATCTGTTTTAAGACCACAACTACAGGAATTGTTATTACATGAAAATTCAGCTGACATATAAACAAAAAGGAAGGCAGAAGCAGTCTTTAAAAATGCATGTCCCATTTCCTTCTGCTTGTGTTCTCTCTCTTTTTATAGAATAGATGAGTGACTCATAATCCTATGTATTATAAGAAAACGGTTTTAAAATGTACACTCTAAAAGCCCCAAATGAGAAGGCTGCGTTTATACATCCTTAGGAATCCCATCATTTTAGTTAAATTTCTGATTTTTTGAACAGCTGAAGATATTTATGTTGGACTGTATCTTGATCAAGTTTGCACAATTATTCAATGAAACACAGTGCTCCATGGGAAAACTTCACTTACTCCCTTTCCTTTTTCTTGGTGTTTATCTGATCCATTCATCATCACCCCAATCAGATTATCTTGCTGACTAACAGTAAGAACTTTGCATCAAAGTACAGTAAAAAGCTTTGACAATTGTTTGTCATAGTCTGTTTAAGAATGTTAATTTTGTTGTCTTTTATAGACGTTACGGATAGCCTGAAAATAAAGCAGAAATTCTGTTAAGTACTAAACAGTTTCTCTGACTTGATTAATTCCATAACCTTTCATGAACGCACATGGGGCTTTGTGTATAGAGACAGCAGTGACACTGGAATGGTATCAGAACATCTGGAATAGCCATTCAATAAAGAAAGCAAACATTTTCGGTCTACTATTTATGCTCTAAACTCAGAACTAACTGGAAAGGCAAAAGACGAACTGTGAGATACTGGAAGTGAATCTAGTAGCAGATACCTGACTGATGCAAAGGGCAAATGAGGTGCCAGCACCTGCAAGAACAAGCATTGCCAAGGATGCCACAGATCATATCAATCACATACAGCACCATTACAAGTCACTTTTCTGAGTCCCTTTCTCCAAGGTACACAGTTGAATGTGACATTAATCATTCTGGCTACTAGCAAGCAATCAATTACTGGTAAGTGCAACTTCAGACCTCAAGCATCAAAGCAAGGTCACCAAGAGGTAGCAGAGAGCCTGGAAAGCATTAACATACTCAAACACAGTAACACTCCCAATCCACTGATGTTTTCCTGAATGAAATATCATTATTATCCTTCCCCTCGCCATCCACTTGGACTGAAGTGTCTTTAGTGTATATTACCTAGTTTCTGAATTGCTCATCTCCTGCAGGGAGGCTGTAGACTAATCTTCAGGAATGGTGAAAAGTTTACAGTATTACAAAATAAAAAATAAAATATAATAATAATAAAAAAAACCAACCGTAGGAGACGATGCAAAAATACGTCTCTAATTCTATTCATGAAGGCGGAAGGCCTGAACAGGCCCAATTTTAACTTGAAATGGTTCTAGCAAGGTAGAAAAATTTAGTTCAAAACAGACTCCATGGTATCAGTCTCCAAGTAGTCAGACTTCCGTAACTTCCCCAAGGTGTCTAGTATCAAGGGAAGGTCAGCAAGAGGTAGTAAAAGAACTGGGGAAATGCTAAGTTTTTTCACATACAAGAACATGCCCATCCCTGGCAACTGAAGAAATCCCTGCTACTTAAAGTTCGAGGAACCAATTCCCCAGCTTAAGTCTCACTAGAAGGTGAATGTTTTTGATTTAGTCTCAACTTTCCATTTGATTATTATATTTGTAGCTACGTAAAAGGAGCAAGTGTAAATCAAAAACAATCAGAAGAGGACTGTCTAACGTATCTGATATATACCAATGGAACTCTGCTTTTCTGTAAAGGGAAAATAAGGCTTCTATCACGGGGGCGGGGAAGAGGTTGTTCTCTACTGCAGTATTGCTATTAATTTAGAATTTAAGAGATGAGTACAGATAATTCAGTATGACAAATTCAACAACTATTTCACAATTATGCTGAAATGTCTTGTACAAGGAGTTTGCAAAAGTCCAAAACATTTACAGGAAGCATTATCCCTGAAGACTGCATGGTTGTACATACTAAGTCACCCAAGGCACCTGGCACCTTTTCCCTCCTACAGCAGCATGATGTTGTAAACAAGTATTGGATCCACGTCAGTCACCACACAGGCTGCTGCACCCTCCAAATCTAACACCTGCTTGCTCTCAATCCAGTCTGGCTTTTCTCCTCCCTACTTCTGATGTTATCAAGCACGACCACAACATTTTAGAGATTGCTTAACTGCCTCTGTTGGTATGACTGAAAGAATCCTGGTTTAAGAAAAAAATCCAAAGCACTCTTGATTCAAGGCCTTATTTTCAGCGTCCTTAAAGGGACACGATTACTTGAAAAGCTATTTTATCATATTAAAACAAGTAGTGTATATACTCTACCATTATATAAAATTCTAAGAATAACAGGGAATGATTACACACAGCACTACAAAAGTCAAGATATGAGTAAAGTTTGGATGCCCATTTTCCCAATTTAATTGTCACAGCTGAAAAGACTAACAGGCCAGATTATCAACTATCAGCAAGATATTCCTACTAGCAAATTTCTGAGATTTCCTGTATATAAGGCATACTGAAAAAAAAAGTCTTGAAAATTGAGAGATGTAAGCAATTCTCGATAATCTAATAAAAGGACTGCAGAAAACAGATGGATTATCCTGGAAAGAATGAGTTAATTTATCGAAAAGCTGGGTCGTACACAGGACACTATCCTCTTGGATTCTGACTTCTGTTCCTCTCCCCCATCACTTCAATTCCTTAAGCTCCTTTTCCACCTCTTTCAGTGGCATGTGGAAAACAATCCAACAGACTCTTCTTTCTAGATGCAATTGTACTTCTTAGAAATTTCCCACAGTAGCTTCGACTTCTCTCAACACCAGCGTGACACTTTGTACCTATAAGCTTTACCTAGCAGATAAGGGAACGTGACAGGCAATCACAGGAACGTCTAAACTACTTCAACAGATATTGTTAGATAGATATTGTTTTACAATTAGATACTGATTTACAGCTCAAAATTGAGCCAAAGTTTTTTTTACGTCTCTTACTTTCTCCTTGGGACATACAAAGTTCAGGCCCGAAGACCTCCTGGTTTTCCACAGTCTGACCTGAACAGCCTGACTTTTTTTGCTGTCATTGTGCAGCAAAAATGCAGATTCAGGACTCTTGCTAGCATGTTTAATTAGGCACAATACTTTACATCTCTTCCAAGCCATAAAATTATGGAAAATTACATTTTCCAAGGTCCCCCTATATTCTCCCTGAATAAACACTATGGGTAATGTTCTTTTTCTTTCTCTACTATCCTATTTCTGAACAAGAACTCAGCACATCCTCTTCTTCAAGTCCACCCTTGCATCAGCACCCACAACCTTTCCTTGCTATGCCTCAGAGAGCACTGCAGAGTTTATCCAGTAAAAGGAGAAAAAAAAAAAGCACGTCTTGACATCCAATAGGAAGATATTAACAAAAATCCTGGAACAGCAAAAAAAATACTAAGGATATAGTCCTAAAGACAATTACTAGGGCTACAGGCATGTTTCCTATTAACTCCCATTATCTGACAGAGCAGGTTCCCAAAATCCTTTTTCGATTTCCAATTATCCACAGAATA